AAATAAATAAATTGAAATATGTTAATTTTTCTCTGTATTTATGATTATGGATTTTTTAAAAATGACTAATAAATAAAATTTAAAAATATTGTGATTTACTTGATTTAAAATTTAAATTATGATATTTCTATATTTTTAATCATTAAAACTCATGTATTTTATTTTATTTAGATGTTAAACTATTGTAGTTACATATTATTTCAAAAATTATGGTAGATCAGATTTTAAAAAAATTTCAATAATTCAAAAAATCTATTTAATTATTTGTTTAGCAACATAGGCTGCAATACTAGTGTTTTAAATTTATTCTGTATCCGTTATATAAATGAAGTTTAAATATCAAATATTTATATTGAAAAAACTTTCGGATATCTGATTGTCAGTGTTATAATTTGTTGAATAATAATTTAAAATAAATTATTGTATCAGATTGCCGAGAAGATTCGGGCAATAGGTAAGTGAGAACAAAATGTTTCTTCAAGTATATTATAATATATTCACTTTATTCGGACTTAAAATGATTTTAATGAGTAACTCTTCCATAAACTATAAATAATATTTTCAATAAAAAATTAAAATATATTTTAAGAATAGGAATTTTTAACAGCTCTTTAAAAAGAAAAGTTATTATTTATAAATGTTGGAAAGAAGAATGAAATAAATAATTTCAATTTCTTAAAGACAGATATGTTTGCTGACCCGTTTTTTACCCGTGGTGTGAAAGTTCTCTTTCAAAATTATTATGATTGTTATAGAATTCAATATTTTTAATAAAAGAGTATCATGAAAAATAAAAACAAGGATTATAAACGATGGTAACCTAGGAAATTATGAATTATACAGAATATTGTTAATTTGCCTAAGTTAAAATTTTAAAATTAACACTTGTTTTTTTAAAAATAAAATAAAAAACAAAAATTTAATTAGTGAAGTATAAGGATAAATAAAAGTATATTTCCCCGTTTACAAAACGCCAGAGGTAATACATTTCATAAATGAGGGTCGATCTAATAAGTTATTGGGATTCGAAGATTTATTGGAAATAATTTTTTTATTTTAATAATGGATAAGGAGTATAAAGTATGGCAATCTAAGAAATTAATAATTAAATTAAATATTATTATTTTACTTTTGTTTAATTTTTAGAGTTATGAAGTTATTTTTGTTCATAGAAAATAAAAAGTTAAGTAAAATAACTGGCGGAAATACAAGATCATGGAGACAGAGATGAAATTGTTTATTTTTAATTATAATTAAGATTATATTTGTGTCACAGTTAAGGAGTTATTAATTAGTTTAACTATTATTAATTTAAATAAATTTAATTTTTAGAGATTATACTATTTTTGTTATTTAAAAAAAAATTAAAATTAAAATTTTAATCTGGATGCAATAAATGTGGCAAATAATATAACATTTCCCGGTATATAAAATGTCTGATGGCATCCTAAGAAATTATTAATTAATTCAAATATTGCTGATTTAAAAAAAAAAAATTTTAGAGTAAATGAGTTTTTTTTTAATAAAATAAAATATTATTAATTTACATAAGTATAATTTTTATAGTTAATGATACTATTTCTTTAATTAAAATATAAAAAAAATATGATCGGTAAGTATAAGGACTTATATTTACCGGTGTATAATATGACATCCTAGGATATTATTAATTAATTAAAATATTGATAATTTAATTAAGTTCAATTATTAGAGTTAATATTTTTTTTTTGTTTTCGATAAAATAAAAATTTTTTTTTGTGGATTGATGGTTGACGGTATTGAATAATTGAAGAGAAGTTGGTTGGAGTAAACAGTTAAAAAAATAAATGAATAAATGATATTTATTTTTATATTTGTTGACATTTCGGCCAAAGGTTCAGGCCTTCATCAGCGTTAAAAAATGGCCAGATTACAGCAGGTATTAACTTATGTACAAAAAAAAAATCGAATATAATATTAATAATAATAATAAGAAGAAGATATGGAAAAAATTAATAACAGTAACAGAGAGAAAATTATGAAACAAATAATAACGGCAAATATAAAAATAAATATAATTTATTTATTTATTTTATTTTACTTAACATCTTAACCAATTTCTCATAAAAAATAAAAATTGTTATTCGCAAGTAAAAGATCAAATAATAGGACATTTGACATTATACAAAATGACTAAAATGATTTACAAAAAATAAATTTAAATATTAATAATTTACTTGGGTTTAATTTTTAGATCTAATTGTATTTATTTTTAGATAATAAGTTCAGTGAAATAACTGATTCAAAGATCTTGGAAATAGGAATAAAATTGTTTTTTTATTTATTATAATTAATATTATAAAAGATTGGATCTTAAGAAATTATTATTTAATTTTCAATGTTATTTTTAAAGTTTAAAAAAAAAATAAATATTAAGAATTTTGTCTGAAGAAATAGATAAAATACATAATGGTAATCTTAGAAATTATTAATTAATTTAAATATTGTTAACTTAAGAAGCTTAATATAATTATGATTTAACACTATTCCTTTTTTTTCAATAAAATATAAATAGTAATCATTACGTTAATGAAAAAATTTATAAAATTCCTGATGGAACCTAAGAAATTATTAATAAATTTAAATATTAATAAGTTAAGTGAGTTTAAATATTAGTATTAATGCTGTTTTTTTAAAGATAATAATTTCATTAAAATAACTGATAGAAATAAAAGATTTTGGAAAAATTGATGAAATTCTTTATTTTTAATTATGATTAATATTATAAAAATGGTCCGAAGGAATAATTAATTGATTTATCCGAATTTAATTTCCATAGTCATTGTTAAAGTGTTTAAATATTTATATTGCCCTTGACCCTTTAGGGTAGAGGCGAGAAAAAGAGAAGAAAAAAAAAGTGTTTAAATAAAATAAAAATTTAGAATTTTAATTCTGAAGAAATTGGTTAAATAAATAATATCAATCTGAGAACTTATTAATTAATTTAAATATTGTTAACTTAAAAAGCTTAATATAATTATGATTTAATACTATTACTTTTTTTAAATAAAATTTTAATCACTACGTAAATGATCAAGTTATAGATAGCATTCTTGAAAGTTTATAAAATTTCTGATGAAACCTAAGAAATTATTAATAAATTTAAATATTAACAAGTTGAGTGGGTTTAAATACTATAATATAGTAAAAATAAATAGTATTAATGCTGTTTTTTTAAGATAACAATTTTAGTGAAATAACTGATGGCAAAAAAAGTGTCATTACTTTGTTTAAAATTTAAATTATGATATTTCTATACTTTCAATAATTAAAATTCATGTATTATATTTTACTTGGATGCTAAACTATTGTTGTTACGTTTTATTTAAAAATTATAGTAGCTCAGATTTTAATATTTTTTTCTCAATTATTCAAAAATTCTATTTAATTATTTGTTTAGCAACATAGGCTTCCAATATTAGTGTTTTAAATTTAATACCCGTTATCTACATAAAAGTTTAAATATCAAACCTTCATATTGAAAAAGCTTTTGGATATCTGATTGTCAGTTTTAAATATTTCTTGAATAATAATTTAAAATAAATCAATGTATCATATAGCCGAAAACATTCAGGCAGTAGGTAAGTGAGAACAAAATGTTTCTTCAAATGTGTTATAAAATATTCACTTTATTCAAACTTAAAATTACGGTAATCAATAAATCTTCCATAAATTATGAATAATATTTTCAATAAAAAATTAAAATATATTTTAAGAATAGGAATTTTTAAAAACTCTTTAAAAAGAAAAACTATTATTTATAAATGTTGGAAAGAAGAATGAAATAAATAATTTCAATTTCTTAGTGTCAGATATTTTGGCTGCCTCGTTTTTTTTCTTAATTATCAGGACAATGAACAGGTTGAATTTTAAAATAAATACTTGTTAGTGAGTAAAATATAACACTTTTAGTTTATATAGTTTTTTCCACCAGTTCAGCTTTAAAATTCAATTCAACAGTAAAATCATAAAAATAATACAAGTATGTTTTATAATAAATAAAACAGATCTAGATTGAAAACCTGACTATTTATCACCTAGAACATTTTAATTTCTAATTATGATTATCATAAAATGTTAACTAATATATAAAAAAATTGGTAAAGTAACTGATGGAAATAAAAGATTTTGGAAACAATGAAGGAATAGCTTATTTGCAATATGAATTATGGATATCTGATTGTCAGTGTTGTATATTTCTTGAATAATAATTTAAAATAAATTATTGTATCAGAATGCCGAAATCAGTAAGGCAGTAAGTGAGTAAAAGTAAGATTTGGAAATATTCATGAAATTATTTTTAATTATGATTAATATTATAAAAGATGGTCCTAAGAAATAATTAATTGATTTATCCAAATTTAATTTTAGTCATTGTTAAAGTTTTTATATAAAATGAAAATCACCTGATGGCATCCTAAGGAGTTGTTGATTAATTTAAATATTGTTAATTTATGTAACTTAAGTTTTAATAGTTAATATTTGTTTTTAAAATAATTATGGAAATAAAAAATCCTGAAGCAATAGACCATAAAATAGAGTATTTCCCGATTTATAAAATGCATTTGATAAATGTGAGTCGGCCATATAATTTGTTGCGGTCAGCTAAAGAGAAATGATAAAACAATCCATCCTCTTCAAGAGCGAAGAGAGGCGGAGGAACGGAAGGAATTAGGTAAGGATCGTAAGAGGAGTTATTTGTTTAAAGCTGTGTAGATAGGAAGTTAATACCGAGTTTATAAGGGAGCCCTAAGGTGGGGGGGCCGAGACGTGTCAATTATGAGGGTTACCCCCTCCACCCTGGGGGGGTGGGGTTGCCCGCAGGACACGACCGCGACCCTCCAATCCCAGCCCGAGTCCGCCCCAAAAAAACACCCCCACCCCAAGACTATCGACGGGAAAAAGGGAGTGGGGATGGAAAAAACGCCCAGGACTGGCAGCCTTTTTCAGTCCGCCTCTGAGCCTCACTCGGGTTGAATAGTGTGTCCTCTTCTGCACTGCTCCTGTGTACGTCTTCGTCGTCTTTGTGTTCCGTATGCATCTTCCGGGTGGAACGACAGAGATGTGGGGGGAGATGTACGGCGGCCTATGTTCGGCCCTCAGCGAACACCACGGCGAACTCGTTCAGACCGGTTCGCCAAGCATTCTCTGTTCGGCGCTTCCCAATCACTGGCGGTCCAACAAGTCCCTGCCTACCGCGTTCAAAGTTGTCGCTCTGGACGACGTCCCAGACGGAACGTTGGTCACCGTGAAGGCTGGAAACGACGAGAACTACTGTGCGGAACTTAGAAACGGATCAGCAGTTATGAAAAATCAAGTAGCGAAGTTTAATGACCTCAGGTTCGTCGGAAGAAGTGGCAGGGGTGAGTGTCTGTGTCATCAAGGATTTTGGATACTACTTTCAGTGCACCGAAAAAGAAAATTCGTAATATCTGATTGTCGAGCGAATTATTTATCTACGTAGTCCGGATGTGGAAATTTTTTTTTTTCAAAATACCCTGTTTAGAGAAGCTCTAGAATATTTTTTATAATTATGAAGACACCGTACAGTGTTAATTAATAATAAATCAGTGATTAAATAATAATAAATCGAAAAATACGGCCTTATCAGTGATTTTTTTGATTAGCATTAATCTTAACAAACACGAGCTTTAAAAATTATGCAATTGACAAGCTTGAATTCGTACAAAAAAAAAAAAAAACACATAATAATAAAATTATTTATTTTTAAATCATATTTATCTGTAAACGCAATGAATAAGTAAGTGATAAAATTGAAAATTTTAACGTCATAAAATCAGGATATTTATCTATTTACTTGACATATGTATAAATTCGATTACGATCAGATATTACAATATTTTCTAATTCTTATAGTATTGCTAGATAAGGACTGGTATTAAGATCAGAATTTTGTGGCTATCGAATAAACAAAAATAGATCTCGCTTGGTCCAGGCATCAAGCAACACGATTAGACGCAGTATTTGATATTTTTTTTATTATTTAATAACAGTATTTAATTTTTTTTTTCTGTTATTATCTCGGACTGAATGGTATTTTTAAAAATCGTTCATATGTAAGGATACATTAATAAAAATCGAAAATAATATTAACCGTATTTATTTTCTATTTTTATTAATATATCTTTACATATAAACGATCTTTAAAAATCCCATTCGTAATGTGATTTCAGCCCGAGATAATAACAGAAGAGAAAAGGATCAAAATAAAAAAAAACTGCCATTAAATACTAAAATGTAGTGATATTTTTTTTTTTTTAAATTGATATATAAATAGGATTTTTTTTAACCATAAATACATATACGTGATATTTCTCCCCTCCTTTTATTTTTTATTTTTAATACATATGTTTGCAACGACAAGCAAAAAGTATTTTTACATATAACCGATAATAATACAATAATACCGCGCAATAATAATTTCTTTTTAAGTAGATTTTTTTTTTTTTTTTTTATAAAATATTTGATAGTATTTGAGCTTTTAACTGATACATTTTTTAAATTATTTTAGCAAATAGTAATATTTAATAATTATATTACAAAAATATTAATAAGTTATATTGCTCTTATAGGGAAAAGCTTCTCACTCACAATCATGATCGGTTCTTCTCCTCACCAGATGGCGGTGTACTCCAAAGCCATTAAAGTCACCGTGGATGGACCTCGTGAACCAAGGTCTAAGTCAAGTAAGTCACGACTTTTTATATTTTATTATTATTATTTTATTTATTATATTAACTATATACGAGTATGAGAGAACTTTAAAGGACCTAATTTAGGTATAATTAAAATGTATACCTGGGAATTTTTCTCTGCTAGCAGTATACTGTTTTACTAAATCAATAATTGCATTAATATTTTTTTTTAATTATTGTCCTAACGAATACATTTAAAAAAAAAATGTTTTTGTTTCAATCGAAATTCCATGCTACGTATTAAGTTTTTGCACTATTTCAGTCTTTTTAATGACCACCATCTTCTTCCTTAAAAATTAAAAAAAAAATATGACAGAACATGTTATTTTAATTATTATTAATTGATAAGTTAGATCAAATATTGTTGTTCGGCATATTTTGAATTACAATAGAAAGATAAATTTAAGGACTTTTTTTTCTGATTATAAAACAAAAAATAGATCTTTTTTTGATAAATGATTTTTCTAATTTAATTATTAGTTCATCGAAGGGATAATTTTAAACATAATAAAAATAAAATGTATATTACCTTCAAAAAATAACACTTAATCAGGTAAAACTATTATAGATATTTAATTTTCTTTTTAATTGCCTTAGCTACTAAGGTTTTAGCAAAGTCAAATTAATTCTTTGAAAAATTATTGATTTTATCTTATATTTTAAAATTCATATCGTAAATTTTTCTCAAGTCTTAAAAACAAATTTTGCTAAATTTTTATGTAAATAATTAATATTCTTTAAAAAAAATATGGTAACAAAATAATACATTAAACCAACACGGTTTAAGATATTTTTGATACCATATATATAATTATCATATTTGTTTAGACAAGTGCCATACGATATGATAAATAAATTATAAAATTAATCATTATAAAAGATGATAGTAAAGAAACGTAAAAGAGTAATGTGTCATTTGAATTTATTTTAATACAATAATTTTATTGTACTTTTTAACACATAAAAACATCATCATCATAAAATTAATTTGATTTTAAATGTTTCATAAATGTTATCATTGTTGGGCTGTGTATCTTCTCAATCGGTTGGAATAGAGCATTTTTTTTTAATCAAAAGCTGTAGGATTTTGACTACTGATGCCTGTGACACAAATTGGGTTCTCCATGCGCAATATTGGCTGCGCAAAAAATGAAAAACATGTTTTTATATAGGCTGTAGCGCAAAAACGGCCCTAACGAATTTGATGAAACTTTCCCTTAATGTTCTAATAATTCTCCTTTCAATTTTTGTACATGTACTAAATTTCTGAGAAAAGGGTGGTTAGCTATTCAATATCCAATGTAAGATTACGGGTTCATATCCTGGTGTCAGAATTGTGAATGAGAGAATGATTACAGAAGGTGAATGAGAGAATAAAGATAACTAAGTGAAAGTAAGAAAATCTGTTGCCCACATCACACAAGCTTCACTATTTTCTTGACTTTTAAAAGAAATTGTTGTGTGACAAAATTAGGCTATGACAAAAAGTTTTTGATCTGCAATATTAGAGGGTATTGATTTTTTTACACTGATCTACCTTAAGCCGTTTTACATTGGTTTGGTTTATCTCATAAATCGCACTAAAATATTTTCTTTGATCAATTTTCAGGAAAGTTAATGTAATTTTAATTTTTTTGGGGGTTCCTTAATGGGTATATGATAAGATACAAAATCTTTTCTGAAATAGGTAGGAAGTCGTGTGAGTGGAAGCACCAGATTTTTTATTTAAGGAAATTTTCGGAAATTTTAATCGTATGATAGTTTTATCACAAAATAGAGTAAATAGCTGGCCTATAAAAATATTGTAATTGTTTGGCCTGAACTTTACCTCTAACAAATCTTTTTTTTCTCAATTTTGTGATCCAATTATCTTACCATTCAAGTGGAAATGATATGGATATACATTACATCATTAAATTATTTGATTTAAAGAGGAAACTTTCCATTTTTGAGAATATCCGTTAATAAAAAAAAAGTTGTCGATCACGATAAGATGAATTTAGAATGATTTTATACGAATTTTAATAATTTTGAAAAATGGGTTCTGTACCTCGGACTATTTTATAATAATAAAGGCAATTTCGGATTTATTACAGCAATATAATTTTTAAAAATATATTGATACATATAGGTAATATACAAGGCTAGTGTAAAAATAACGAGATTCGGAAGCGGCGTGTGTTGTAATAGAGGTGGGGAATTGCGACAGAGAGCGGCCATAACTCGCGGATTGCGGTCGTAAAAGTGTGATCAGGGGGACAAACTTTTGCGACTGCTCTAACCAGCCTCTCTTAAAACTTACCAACTCACCTCTCCTTCCCCCCCCCCTCTTCCAACTTGTTATACCAACTTTATCCGCTATTCTTAACCTTATTTTCTCATATCTTTTTTTCTCCCATCCGAAAGGGGAAAAAGAGGAGATTGTGTTATACCCCTTCGTCGAGGTGGAGTTTAAAAGTTTGCTTAAGTCGGCCATTGCAAGCGAATTTTTTTTTTCTAATGCAATGGGAATACAAAAGGATGCGAATAGAATAGGATTCATTCACTTCTTATTTTACTACATATTATTATTTTCCAGCCGGTAATGAACCGTGGCTCGAAATAAATGCGTACATGACAAATGAATAACAACTAAAAAATATTTCATATTGGTTTATTATTAAACAACCAAACATCTAAAGTAACACACCCTTCCTAGTGACAAAGAAAACTATAAAACTATAAAAGTCAATTCAAATTATTGGCCTAAATATTTTTTTCTCATCATTAGTAATTTGCTAAAAAAAAAAAATAGCATTACTTTAATGACACATTAAAAAATCAAAATCCAAAACAAAGGATATATAACCTTTGCAGCAGAACATATAAAACATCTAGAGACCATATCTTTGCTTGAAATTGTCCGATTTTAACGATTTTTTTTTTTTTTTTTTTGTATTTTTAGTAAATTTCGTAAATTTTTAAATAATAAATATCCACAAAAAAGTTTATACTTTTTGGATTATTCTTAATCTAATTTTACCATCCCTCGTAACTTTTTTTCAGCTTCTTTTCGTTAAAGTATGTTATATAGATAAATTTAAAGGGCACCGAGAAGAAGACAAGTTAGCCAAGTTTCATTGAAATCGGCATATTCGTTTAGGCGCTACAGTCTATAGCAACGCTGGTTTTTCGGCCGCCATCTTGAAAAGAAAAGGCGGATAGTGTTGTCGATGAAGGAGGATCATCCTTGGGTGACCTCTGACTTTAAATCCAAATTTGAAAAAAAAAATCGATTTAGTAGTTTCATTAACCACAATTAAGCGAATTGAATTCCCAATTTCATAATTATTGTTAATGTATATAATTTTACTCTATAATCCGATAAAGTACAGCAAATCATGTTTATCGTTGTTCAGAAAATAGGAAAATCATTTCCAAAAGACATAGAGAATTGTCTCTCAAAAGAAAGACCCACGCAGTAAGCTGTATTCCAAAAACAGTACGGTCATGTGTTCTTAGGCCTATTAATCATACTGGAGTGACATTTGTAGTGCGGGAGCCAGAAACGTGAAGTCAAACAAAAAAGAAAAAAACATTATTGAAATATCTGTATCTGATATAATTCTTCATAATATAATATTTCGCTGAAATTGTTTACAAATTTTTAATTGTATAATGATATTTTATTGATTAAAACTCAAATATGGGATTAAAGGATTACAGCTTATAAAAAATACTATATTCGCATCCTTAAATTAATCGAAAATAGTTTTATACTTCTTTTATTTTTGTTTTTATTATTATGTATCAAAATTAATCATATTGATTAAAAAATTATTTATACATTTTGGTTAATTAATTTTAATTAATAATGAAATCCCTTTATCAAGATTTAAAATTATGATTTTAGAGAACAATGCCTATGATTTTCAAACAAAAATAATTTATAACTGCCGAGAAACAGAGAAGGATGTCTAACTAACCCAGGTTCTAAGATGTTGAACCAACGTCGTACCAAGAACTTTATCGTGGCATAATGGTCAAACGGTTTTCGGGGTCTTGGGTTCCATTCAACACAATCATAAAACTGTCCTAATCCATACTAGGTAATAATTTTAGGAGTCTCGTGGCACCGTTATGTTTCATTCTATTCAAAATAAGGGACAAAGGTTTAAGATTGAATCTTTACAAACTTATATTTATAGTTGAGATAATATTAGAATGTAGATAAGTTTGTTATTTCTTAAAATTCACGTATTTATGTACTTCAACCCTGGGCGAGTTGAGACTATTATTTTCGTATACGTCATGGGATGACTAATAGGTCAAAATATCCTTTGTGTTCAATTCAATAACGAATATGTCGAGGACGTTTGAGCTTAAGTTCTCCTACCCTAACAAAAAAAAATATATATGCATATATTTTTTTCTAAATGGTGTGAGTATATTATTGTATTTAAACAATCACAACATGTGTACTATTTTAAATTGTAACGCTCATACAGCTAGTAACTGCACGTGTCAAGAAAAAATATTTTAAATTATTCAAATATAAACGACTAAACAATTTTTAAATAATTGCAGTTTGATATTAACAAAAAATTCCGTAACAAAACCAGCTATAAAAATCAAACAAAAATAATTTCTACATCAAATCAATAATACATTAAGGCAAAGAAATACCATAACATTTCCATAAGTATATTTCACCTATAAAAATTTTATTAAATCGGAAAAAAATAATTTTATTTAATATATTATTTAACGTCTTGGCTCTTATTAGACATTTTCAAATATTCTAAAAGACTGAAATCAAAAGTATATCTTTTGAACGGTATTAGTTGAATGGAAAATGAAAGTTGCCAATTAATAAACTACTAAAGAATAAGAAAATAAAGAAAGCTAGTTTTTGTTGTAGTGACTGGATAGCAAAGAATTTTGCTTATAAGAGATAAAATAAAAAGCTAGATTTTGTGTAAAATTTAAATTATCATTAACAAGTAATGCCA